TACTCACTGAGAGCCCAAAGAGTCCTTGGTTAGATCCCTAGTGTCGTTTATGCACAGTGATGAGAGGTACCATACTTGCAAGTCAAAGCTGTTTAGTGACTTCCGTTTTTCAATCATATCTTGAATAAAATCACCCAGTGATGCAAAAAAACTGGAGAATCTTTAAAAACCTCTTAGATGAATGTTCTCTTATTGGTTGAGATGTTGATTTAAATGCCAATATCACAACGACTGACCTAAAATTGTTATATTACAGATCGTTCTATTGTAATTCACCTATTTATCGACTTTAATAATCTTCCATTTTTAGCCATCCGGTCATTATTATTTTTAAAATGTGTATTTATTGAGTTAAAACTATTTACTAATGGAATAGATAGTTAGTCGTATGAATTACTTACATTTTTTTCAAGACCTATTTAATCTAAGGATAATTTCTTCCGATGAGCGACCTCAAACCAAGAACTATCACAAACCATAAAGCTTCACAAGAATTCATAATCTTTCACTTCAGATGAGTTCCAAACTATGAAAACTAACTTACCTGATACCTAGTGGTTTTAAGTGGTTTTTCAGTTGATGCAATATTCTGTGATGAAAATGTTATAACCGAATTCACATATATCTATAAACTTTTTATCATATTATTATAAACACACAAACCATACCTACTTTTATGTAAAAATATGTTCTTTTTCAAGCTTTTAATACAATATTTATGAGACTATGATAACCTTGGCTAATTAAAATTATAGCTCTAGTCACTCTCTCATTGATCTTATATATATTGCGAGTTTTCACCTACAGAAAACTCTATCAGTATCAAACAATGCTTCACCATTTACACTAAATGGTGATTACAGACTAATCACTCTCATTTTTATCCTGCCTCAAGTGCTGATCATATTCTCTCAATCGGATAACAAGATGGTAACTTCAGTCTTAAAAGAGGTCAACCGGAGCCTAAACGGCTTTGATGATAGTGGTTCTAATGCCACGTGGAGTATCATTTTTCTGAGAAAGTAAAATTATGTCTTGTTGATGAGTGATAACCAGCATCAAACCCTATTTCAGTGTTTTCTGTCGATCACCTCTATCCACCTGATTTCGAAATCATAAAAGCAATACTTTAACAAATCTAGAAATCAATGTGGATATTTTAATTTGGGCCCCAGTTGATCTAGAAAAGCTAGAGCACTGATATAGACATTATAAATTATAAAAGCAAATAATGGTTAATATTAAATTACATATACTCTCATCATAGCATAAGTGAATTTAAAGAATGAGTGATTATTTGATTTAATTGAGATTATTCCATAGATTCATACAAAATAATAAATACAATTGACAATAACTTTATTGATCATCACTATGGGTTGATCCATCTATATCACTGATGTAGAGACAGAAATTCAATTAACCCTGATATGTTTAGTTTAATATATACCATCGTATAAATTATAACATTTCAATCGCATACTTAAACGTTATTGTTACTCTGGGTTGATTACCATAGCAGTAGTCTAACAATGTTAAGTTTATTACATGCCTTTTCTCAAGTCACTTAACCGGGATGCAATTAATTTTCCTAGTAATGTTTTAAGTAGCAGTGAGCTTAATCGACCTTACTTCGAAAATCGCCCGCTCGCACTTATAATAAATATTTTTAATTTCTAGCTAGAATCTGCAGTTATTGTTAACCTTGTAAAAAATACTTTTCGCATTGATACGACCCTATCCTTGTTGTTTTACTGCTAGTCTGTCATTCAAAAAGAAAAACGGCCAGATGTGTATCATTTTTTCTAGGGATTAAGAATCATCTTAAGAGAATAACTTCCTAAGCCGCCTCAACCCTGATCTACAGTCCATTACTGTACAATACGTGTTCTTGTAAGGGTTCGCAACTGGCCAAGTGTATTGATTTCAATCAGTGTTGATACTTTTTCATGTTTGTCAATAATCTCACTACGTAACTTTGCGCTCATCAAGGTCCTTCCATTTATATTTCTCACAATAACTAACATGAAAATGGAGCTACTTTCGAACAAAATTTATTTCATCAATAGGGATTAACTATGGTTTACTTGCTTGTAGATAACGTTTTGCGTAAAACGGGATTTATTTTCAAGTAAAAACCTTTCGGAATGTTATTATTTTCATAACTAACCATTTGGAAAAATAAACTTACGAAATATCTAGAAGGAAGTTTACTTTATCGGTGACCTGTACAGTCCACATACAAAGAAACAGAAAAGCATCATGTATTATGTTCCATGGACACTCAAACAGTCATTCCATTGAATCTGAGTGTCAACTGGAAGTAATGATTCGATAGTTCCTTTAATAGTTCAGCCATACTGTCAAAAATATGTTAGCTGATGCCTGATTTTAGCTAGTGTATAATACCAGTAACGCTATAGGCAAAAATAAATCGATCACTTAATATTTATTTACATGATTCCGTGTGTGACATATTGATGAATATTATCAAATTGGATTTTTGTAACTTTTGAACATCGTTCCGATGGTTTTCCCAAAATGGAATCACAAACCAAAATATATTTACATCTGAAATTTAGTTTAGAAATAGATGAATGGCCACTTTTATAAAAGTATATTTGCTACCGATAGTGATCATACATATTAGTAAACCAGTTTTGTTAAATAAAGAAAAGGTCCCAGCGCTGGAATATCTCTGTGGTCAACTTATACAATAAACAAGTTCTAACCATAACACGGAGCTCAGTGGAAACTTAGGGAAAACAACAATCAAGTATGAAAGTACGCCTAATTGGGATTAACTTTGGATTTAACACAACTAACTGGTAAACGTTTTTACCATTAAGCACTTCTGCTCTTCATGTGCTTCATTGAGTTGTTATACATCTTCTTATGAATATTTATAAGGCTAAATTAAGTTTGTCGCCCTACTAAATCATACTGTTTTGATTCTTATAGATAGATGATTTTCTAATTCACGATGTTAACCAGCAGGAAAGAACAAACAACTCGAGATGTATGTTTATTTATCTGTATTATTCATATAGATTATAGGGGAAAAATAATTAAATGGTGCTTTAGATCACAATAGCCCATCTTATTCTAAACAAGGTTTATCACAAAGGTACAATCAGAAGTTTACGGGAATGGTTTATCAATATTAAAATTATTTATAGTTACAATTTTATCAATATATGATAGCTACTTCGATAGACATCCTAACTCCGGGCTAAGCTATGGTATAGGTATTTAAAATTAAATGAAACGTTACATTGAAGATTTAGGAAGACTTGCATATCTGAGGGAAAGTACGGAACACACTGAAAAGCTTTTGTGCAACTTGACTATTCGGACTTCTCAGATGACTCAGCCCTTCTATCCCATACACATGAGCAAATACAGGTCAAGACAACTAGTGTAACAGAAGCTTCAATATCGATGGGCCTCAACATACATAAGAAAAAAAAACAAGATCCTCAAACACAACACAGAGAACACCGATTCATTCACACTTGATGAAGAGCTTCTGCAAGAGGTAGAAACTTTTACATATTTGAACAGCCTCGTATAAAAACAAGAAGGATCTAGTGCAGACGTAAGAACAAGGATTGGCATAACAAGGACATCATTTCTACAGTCGAAGAACATATACAACTCAAAAAAACTGTCAACCAATATCAAAGTCACAGTCTTTAATATGAACATGAAGATAGTTCTACCGTATGGAGCTGAAAGGTCGAGAACTACCACTACCATCATCATGAAATTACAAGTATTTATAAATAATTGTCTAAATAAGATACTGAATGTTCGTTGACTGGATACCATCAGCAACAACCTACTGTGCGAGAGAACAAACTAGCTCCTACCGAAGCGAAACTTAGGTAAACGTGATGGAGGTGGATAGGACATACATTGTGCAAATCATCAGACTGCATAGTAAGGCTGGAGCTAACTTGGAATCCTGAAGAGAAACGGAAAAAAGAAAACCAAAGAACACACTTCACCAAGAATCGGAAGTAGACATAAAGAAGATGAATAGCTAATGTAAAGGATTGCCTATGGCAGAGTTGGATGGAAAATGCTTGTGGGCAGCCTATGCTCCTCCATGAGAAGCAACAGGCGTAAGTCAATAAGTAGGTTACACTGAAGATCGTTTTTAATATTTCATTAGTAAGGTTATCATTTAAAATATCAATACTGGCGAATGCGAAAGTGATAAAATATCTATTTTTAAAGTGAAAAATAAGAGGCGCTTTTTCATTAATGGGAAACTGTTATCTGCGGTATTGAAAGTCCATTGCTTTCGGTCACTGCCATTAACACACCAAAGAAACTCATTAGAGGCTTTTGTTACTGCTGTTTTTGAGCGTTAAACTGTTTGCCTGATGCCATTACACAAAAATGACCTGAAGATCCTGAATACTGACTGTTATTGCCAACTTTAATGATGAAATGTCAAAAAATTCATCGAATATGAACAACTTATGATACTTTATTATTTAAAGCACTAGAATATCAGTCATATTTGATGCATATAATGTCATTGTTACAAAGCATCATTTGACATTAACTGTGTTTCAGTTTACAATCATTTCAAAACCCAATAGTCAACATGTAGGTATTGTCTCGGTAGTATTACGGAAAATACATCCACAAAGTTTAATACATATAACTGAAATTCACTGGCTTATTTCTTTGATCTAGTTATTAGTCGTGACTGCATGTGTTATATGATTTTCAGAAGCTGTCGAAAACTAGTAGGGCTTAACTTGAATGTTATTTTAGTTGTGACCCAGTGGTGTTTTTCGTCCTTAGGTTTATTATCGTTATCTACAGTGATTAGTAGACATGGGTATATAACTGATTACAATATATTCATATTTGAAATGGCTAAAGTTGATTTGTTTTTGGACAGCAGATAACTATTTTTAAACATCTGTATACTAAGACAATGAAAAATACCGTATTTATTTTTTCAAAACAGCCAAACTTACTATTGACTAAACTATGAAGTGCCAGCTTGACTTTTGAGAAGTTCCCTCTTCCAATATCCAGAACAAATCGATAAAATCCTAATCGTTTTCCAGCACGTATTTCATTCTTATAAGTTGCATCTTTAGAAAACTTTTGACATAATTTCTCGAAAACTGTCAGGCTTTCTGGTTGCTTTTGTACATTTTTTTGATCACTTTTATGAGTAGGATGCCTTTTAAATGAGGAAAACGATTCTGTAGAAACGTGATTAGCATCCGATTTAGTTGAATGACCCTGAAAAAAGGAATTGAAATAATGTTTTTATATTTTACCTGACCATTAATTATTAGACAAATTAGAGTCAAATATATCTCTAATTGTTATGGAAACATAAACTAAATAAGTAAAAATATTTCATTACTTCGAACTATTCAGAAGACCAAAATTAATGACACATAAAAACTCACCATATTTCTTGATAAAGAGGCGATGGAAAACTGCCAAGTTTAAACTAATTGATTTGCATACAATTTGGACAAAATACAAATATAGATAATTGTAGAATACTCATAATCATAGAAGAGTAAATATGCATCGTTTCTGACAGTATGATAGGGTTACTGAAAGTCAGTGCAAATTACAAAGTGCCGTTCAACTATTAGCAACTTCATGTCTTATTTAGTTAATTGTCCACAAGAATTTTGAACTTTCCGGACTATTTTCCTGTTTTTCATCAAGAACAGCGGACTGCAATTCGTTACCAGTGAAGCACTAACTTAAACAGAAACGCATGAAACTTTTATCGAATTAAATTCATTGTACAAAATCAGCACTCCGGTTTTGTGAAAATCTTACATGCTAAACTAAAAAATTTTATTCGGCATAAACTATGATCGTGGAACCTCTTCATTTCGATCCAAGACCAAATCCTATGACGATCCCTTAAAGTATGAACAACGATTATTACAGTGTTTCTATGAGAGATGTTCTATTCCCACAGTCCTATAATCCAAACTGCAGCATTTTCAATAATATGACAAACAATGCAATAAAAGCATACGCCGCCTGTTATTTGTTATTTACAGATTAGACATCTCAACTGTCAACTCTCTTCTTTTTGCAAAAATCCTTCATTTCGACCCTATGACTGTATTGTGAATTATTTTTGAGTTGAAATCGCCGCAAAAATTAATGCATTAATATTAGGATTTATTTTAAATATATTAATATATTAATATTAATGATGAACATATTCTCACAAATGTAAATTTGTGTTAACGTGTCCTACAGGATGATAATCGAGACATATATCTTCACTCTAAAAGTAGAAGTCAGAGATTACTCAATTCGGATACAATGACTATTTCACTAAACATAAGGCCATAGATCACAAGAGAACACGAATGTTAGAATCTGAATAGTGAATAATATGATAGTAATGAGTATAAACTTAGTATTTAATTTCACATAAAGGTATTAAACTCACGTTCATATATCCATTTCTTTCAGGCGGTGTTACAGATCTCTCTTCTAAGCATTGTTTAGCGTATCTGTCCAACCCTTCTACTTCTGAGATTGCGGGTCTTAATTGGCCACCAGGTGCAGCAAGGTAATTATTATTTTGCAATTCGTTATTACGTATATCGACTCCAGTATATTCACGGGATAGCTCATGATAAGACATTTCAGATTCGCACCAGTGGATAGTTAAATTTCGTTCTAACTTGCTATTTTCTTCCTTGCCATTACTCAAAGCACTTCGATTGTGTATAGTTTTCCCATTTTGAATGTGTATTTCACGAGGATAGTTTTTATTCATCTCATAGAAATTATACTGTGTGTGATGAAGGAAGATAAATCATTATGAACAAATGTTTTTCAGATGGTCTAACAAAAGACAATTGTGGCTCAAAGTAATGCTGAATAAGTACAATCAATTATTGAGCTTTTAAAACAAATCAATGCCCTAGGTTATGTTAAAAAGCTTATGAAGACTTTTTCACAATTTTTAGTGAAAAATTCATATAACAGTTTCTTAGCCCCTAAATTTGATCGATTTCAAATGTAAATATAGGTCTTTTATATCAAACGTTAAACTTTATCATGTTGAAGAAGAAGACTGTTGGTTGCCTAGGGTCTCTATCTGAGTTATAGTGCGAGCCCCTGACTGTCAGAAAATGAAATTCTTTTCTAGTTCCTCAAGAACCAAAAATAAGGAAGCCTTTATTACTAATAAAGGAGGGAGCGGAATAGCATCTAGAGTAGCTACCCGCAATACCATTGAAATATATTGAAATTTTAACCGCTTTTGATTAGTTTCCACAAGGTGCGGTCACTGCTTACCATGCGAGGAAATTTTTAAGTTTACCAACTCTACCTGCAAATGCATGCACGCATTTCTTCTGGAAAGCGTAATTGTCGTTTGCTACCGAGGTATATCCTGAATTGCTCGGCGTAGCTTATATTTCGTATATTCATCGGCGGATGACAACATAATGCTGAACGGTGATTCACTGTCTAAACTTGTGTCTGGTTAGTGTAGCAATAAATGAATTCCCAAAATAAATAGCTATGTACGTCTTCGAATTTCGATGCTCAATACATTAGCCTTGATGGGCTCATCTAGCTGAAGGCGCTCGGTCATGCATCTGCACCAGGTCACGAGTGGGGACGCCGTGCTCAACATCCTCTGCAATCGCTAACGACTCTAGATAAGTCCATCCACGATATATTGGTAGCCTATCAAATATATCTTCGAATCTCCTCGCTTCTGTCTTTTGATTTCACTCGATGGGTACGCTTCATATTAGATGTTACTAGTTAAAGCGTTGTCAAACTCCAAATATCTGTGGCATCTTCACCGGTGAGTCTAACGTGATATGGTACACCAAATTGTAAACTGTGAATCTTTCCTTTTTGGAATTTTGTATAATATTACCTTGTATTAATTTTTTATATATTGTGATAATTTTTCCCGTGTTTTTGATATATTTTTTCTCACCCGTTCATTCTCGTACTTGATATTGCGCCATGACGGAACAGACACCCAAGGTACTTAAGTTAAAGACTATGTCCCCACCTTCGTTCCAAATGATGCCTTTCTGGCCAGGCAACATCGAAGCCTGGTTCTGATACGCAGAAGCTGACTTCACCGAGCACGGCGTGATCGACACACGTGCACAATTCCGCGCAGTAGTAAAAGCACTACCACGCGAACTCAACAGGTATGTCATACCTAGTATGTTTACTAGTGATGTTTCCGAATCCTACGAAACTCTTAAACGATCTATTCTTGAACGCGGAGACCTAACCGATCGACAAATGTTAGATCAACTCCTTAATAATATCGATGTGCAACACGGTTCAGCGACAGACATGTTGTAAGAAATTAGAGTGGTTATGGGCCAAAGAACATTCGCTGATGGCTTATTCAAACAACTTTTCTTATCCAAACTACCTCAATGTGTGAAGCTGTGGTTATCTCGTTTCAAAACAACTCCGTAGACGAGCTGGCTGCATCTGCCGACCGCATTTTAGAGATCATCAAATCTTCTCATGCCAAGGTTTCCTCAGTCAAATAAAAATTTCAAGCAACAGAGAATGACATCAAGGAACTATGTCATACGCTGACCCGTTACCTTCGATTTAGTGATGAACGTAAACGGTAACACACCCCTCGAAGAAGTGCTTCACGTAAGCGATCTGTCGCCAGACCACGAGAGACGGATAACCCTGTGTGTTACTGGTATCGTAAACACTACGGAAAATCTTCTAGAAAATGTAGAAAATCCTCCGGTTTTCCAAACTCAAAATTGATCGATAAGAAAAACATTTCAGGAAGCTTACAAGCCGGCACATGTGAACTACAACCTTAGCGGGAGAACATAGCTGTCTGTCATACGTCACAGTTATGGTAACAGGAGATCGCTACCTCGTCGATACCGTCTCCACAAATTGGTTTTAAACCTACAGGCGGCAAACGCAAAGCATATCAATACGTATAGCAAAAGGTACGTTTACCTTAACGTGTGTTTACGTAGACCCATACAGTGTATCTTCGTTGTCGCAGACGTTTCTATGCCGATCATTGGTATAGACCTTCTACAAAACCATAATCGATTAATCGATACAATTAAACTCACGATAGACAAATTCTGTGAACCAATACTCGGAAGTATTCCTAGATATACCAGCGGAGGCCGAAATTGCCGCATGCAACCAGCAACGGTACACGTCAAATCACGACTACAGGACCACCTGTGTTCTCGAAAACATGCCTACTGGCCCCCAAAAAGCTAAGGTTGGTGAAAAACGAATTCAACCACATGATAGACTTAGGTATCACAAAACCGCCAAACAGCTCATGGGCATCTCCGTTGCACATGCTTCCTAAAGAGGACAGCAACGGTTGGCATCGAAATGGTGACTATCGTCGACTGAATGCGAAAACCATTCCTGATCGTTACCCATTGTCTCACATTCACGATTTGACAGCTACCTTGAAAGGTACAACTGTCTTTTCGAAAATCGACTTAGTTAAAGAGTATAACCAAATCCTTATGGCTACAGACGATATTCTGAAAACCGCCATCATAACTGCCTTCGAACTGTACGAATTTTCGCGAATGCATCTCGGTTTAAGAAATGCTGCCCAAACATTCCAAAGGTTCATAGAAGACGTTTTTCGAGGTCTCAACTTCGTACATGCGTATGATGATGACTGCCTAATAGCAAGTTCAGACAGAGAATCTGATCTCCAGCATCTGAATCTTGTTTTCGACCGACTACAAAAACATGGCATTACTGCAAACCTTCAGAAATGCCAAATCGGGACTGACTTCCTCGGGCAAACTATAGATGTTCAAGGCATCCGCCCCTGAGAAGCAAAAAGGCGGTCATTCCGGATTACTCAGAACCGACCATCAGTGAGCAAATAGGCACATTTAACGGCCTTGTAAGTTTCTATAGACGTTTCATACCGAAATGCGCGTCACTTATGAAACCGCCGACCGACCAACTTCGTGGAAATGTGAAATCCATCAGTTTGGACGATACCGTGCGAAAAGCATTCTCCACAGTTAAGGAAATTATCGCCGAAGCAACGATGCTTACACATCAGGACACTTAAGCACCTGTAGAATGATGGTCTACTATGATATTAGTACTACTCTAATAATTGACCTAATCCTAAAATTATAGATTTATCATGATATAACTGCCTCATCTATAAGATCTTACATGGAAGTCACATCATCGTCTACACCAACTCATTGAATCTTAACAATCACCAATATATGATGGAGAACAAGCTTAGGCTACAGATATAACAATATATTTATTATGGATAAAAGATATAAGGTAACATTCGACAGGGTCCACGCCTGCCATCCGATCAACTCCAATTCATTCAACCCATTGTTCCAGCCTTCTCCATCTTTGGGTTTTTCTCCGCGCTAGATGTTGAGCATCTATTTTCCCAAGTCCCTCCCGTTCAGCTTTGAGGACTGTGTGATTAGGGCCCAATGCCGCTGCAAACGTTAGACATCACGTTGCCGGCTGTCACGATAAGATAACTAAATATAGAAAATGATGTGACTTCCAAGTTAAATCTTATAGATTAGGTAGTCACATCATGACAAATCTACAACATTATTATTATAAAAGCAAAGACAAATGTATTAATGCCGAGGTTGACCATAATCCTACAAAAGCAGCCTCAGTCACCTTAGAATGATAAGTAACACTAAACTATAGTTCAGGATTTCCTGTCAACTATGACTAAACACCGAATATCTGTTCATCAATATATTTAAGTAAGAATGACTATATATTAACTACTCCTGCGAGGTAGAGTTTCGCTTTGAAATACTTACGTTTTGTACCCTTTATTATAACTCCGAATGGTTTAAGCTATAGGGAGGTCTTCATAAAATACTTCATTTCACTACCACAGCTCAATAGCTCACGGAGATTTGAGATTTACAATACAGCTACCAAATTTTTATAGTCAAATGCATTCGTTTAGTTAAAAGAAGTCTCCCAAGGTAATCAATTTGCGTAGAACATACTGCTTTGCTAGTATACCTAAGCACAACCTAAGAAATGAGGACGGCTGAAACTAGGCTAAAGTAGTTCAAATAGCCTGTTGGATTGTTATTTTATTTTTGAAATATTGATTACCGATGAAAAGTAAAGAACAAAAAGTCAAAAGCAAATAATGTCGTAAATGTGATGGTTTTAAATTAGCTGTTTTACTCTCTGTATACAAATAAAAACGTTGTCTCACAGTTATCGTTAGTTCAGATTGGTCAAAGTCGACAGACATACACTTTTACCTTGATTACGAAGTGAGATATCAAATTTCCAGTTAATGGACACGAAAACATTCGAAGTGATGCATCTGTACAGCTAAAGGTGTACACAATTAATCATAATGGATACATTCTATTTTCCAATAAATCCACGAGACTAGCCCAGACCAGTGTTTAGTGGCTTCTAAGTTTTTACATAATGAAGATGCCACGAGTATTTGTAGTTTGACAGCGCTTTAACCAGTAACACCTAATACGAAGCGTACCCATCGAGTGAAATCAAAAGACAGAAGCGAGGAGATTCGAAGATATATTTGATAGGCCATCAATATATCGTGGATGGACTTATCTAGAGTCGTTAGCGATTGCAGAGGATGTTGAGCGCGGCGTTCCCACTCGTGACCTGGTGCAGATGCATGACCGAGCACTTTCAGCTGGGTGAGTCCATTAAAACTAATATATATTCAGCATCAAAATTCGAAGACGTACATAGCTATTTATTTTGGGGATTTATTTGCCGCTACAGATCAATCACCCCAAGTGGGGTGGTGATGACCCCAAGACGCAGTCAGACAGAAGTTTAAACACAACGAGTTTGTCGTCGGTAACCACTCTTCTGATGGCTTGCTAGGTTTAGCAGCGTCTAATCGTCTTTTCTTACTATAAGGGACCATGAAGTA